TCTTCATAAATTACCCAGTCTTGGGTATGTCTTTATGGGAAGGATTCGACCAGACTAATACAATAGGAGTGGGCTAGGTAAGACTTCCCAGAAGAAGGATGGCTAAACCACACTCCCCATTCTAAGCTGGGGTTTGATTTCAAAAAAGAAAAAGAAAAATCCTCAATATTTGGTTGGTTTTGAGAATTATTTAAATAATGTCAATTCCAGTTGCAACAGCGGAGAGATACTTTTCGCAACCGAAATTAATACAAATTTGCTTCAATTCTGCTCTGTGTAAAGAGAAATTATCTGCTTTGGTAAGTCTGACTATGAAACTTAATTCAGCTTCTAGATTAAAATATCCTCTGCTGGAGATTCACATACAGCAGCAAGATACAAGAAAAAACTAAATTTAAATTATAATTGTACTGAAAAATTCAATACATCATTGTGATCTTGCAATGAAATTTATTTCATGTTTAAACTACCACATTTTTGCCTCACACAGAAGAGCTTTTACTGGCAACTCCAAGCTGGATAGCAAATGAGAATAGCAAATGAGGTTCTAGCTCCTCAGTCCTCACACTTGACTATTAAAGACAGCTAGGAACACTGATGGAAATATTTTTATTTTTAATGAATTTAACTATTTTAATGCTATAAATGTCCAACATAGATGTCATATGCATTTGAATATATGTTACATACTCAAAGTTAATTTGTAAGCCTGGAATGTGACATGCATCTTCCTGTAGAAATGATAGCTAATTGTGCCTACATTCTCAGGCTAGCCCTCAAAAGTCGATCAAACATCTCTATGGGGAAACATTAGGCAATTGTCAAATTCAGAGCTCTGATGATGTGAAATGAGGTCAGGGCCTTTGAGGCAAAGATTGGAAATGAGATGGTAGGGACAGAGTCGGGTATCTCTGAGCCTCAGTGTGTCTGAGGCTCTCGTGCTATATAAAGGAAAGAGCTAGGCCTCTGGACTCAAACGGACGAGGGTCAGGATTTCAGATTCATCAACTACTACTTCTGTGATCATCAAGAAATTACGTTCTCTTTGCCTTCACATCCTTACCTTCAAAAGGAGAATGGCTTAGGAGCACCGCTAGGATGAAGTAAAACAGCATATGCAATGCACATCTATAATACCTGTGACAGAGCAGGCGCTCAGTAAATAATGGTTCCCTTCCATTACTCCACTGGCTTTCTGCACCTGTTACCTACCTTGGCCTATGGAGAAAATGACCTGTGTTGTAGAGTTGAAGAATTAAATGAAGTATGTGTGTCTGTGTATATGTGTATGTGTGTTGTCTGTACAAAGCCAGTAAGTAGTAAATACATGGCCTAGCAAATAGGAAGAACTCAATAAACAGTGGTTTGTTTTATTTTTCCACTAGTAGCATACTTACCAGACTGCTTCCTTTACCCAGACACAGCCTGCAAAAATTCTGGCACATGATTCTGCATTGTGAATCATTGTGTTTATCATAACAAACACAAAGCTATTGTTTTTATGGCTGATACTATGTTAGATGGTTCCCATTGGTTCCAGAACTCTCTGGGTTAATCTGCAAAAGGGACAGGAAGGCAGTCTGAAGGCATCTGTTTCCGTAAGCTCATTAGCATGGCCTGAAAAACGCCTTGGGTTCAGGGGTGAACATAAAGAGAATTACTTTTTCCCCAGTGGGATCCCATGCACCAGGCCCAAGTCCAGTGGAGAGAAGAGCAGGATTCAGAGGCTGCAGTTTCACAAGGACATCCTGGGTACAAGCAATTGTAGGAGTGGAACACTCCCTGTGCGTGCACAAAACACACATAGCTCTAGCTCAGTGATACCCAAGGGACAATACCAGGAGTCCACATCTGGCCAGGGAAGCAATGTTCCTGAAGAGGATACCAGCCATGATGGTAACAGTGAAGGAGACACCAGTACCTAGTGTTTCCAGGGGCCTGGACACCAGGGAAAGGAGAAAGAGAAAGATTTTCAAAGAGAAAATCATGATTCGTGATCACATATGAGACACTCCTGGGACTTCCCAAATAAATGGGGAAAGACTTTGTTGGAAGGCAGGGATGTGATGCTGAGAACTCAGTGGGATGCAAGCCAGGGAGATGTGAATTCCTTTGATGTAATTCATGTTGCATCCATAGCCTGACAAGGTCTGAAAGAGGGTACAAATAGGAGAGTAATGCCAATGAATAAGTACAGCAGCCCTAAGTCAAGCAAATGCAGTCATTGGGCAGAACTCAGTTTCAATGGCTTGACGACAGAACAGAATAAATGGTTATATTATAGCTGCATAATAATATAGTTCCCTAATATTATGTTATCAATATGAATAAGCATGCCTCTTTTCTAAACAAACACATGCTGAGCCTTTAATTGTTCACTGCCACACAGAGATGATATAATGATAGCTTACTAACACTTCTCAAGATCTTCTGTGGAAGACACTGTATAAATATCAATTATAGTCAGTTGAAGTGTTATTGTTTTCTATTCTGCATTGGCATTTTATATGGAATATAATGAAGTTTTTATCTCTAATCTTCATACCAAACAATTGGCACCTACTTGGGGTACTCTCTAGAATAATTATATTCTGACTAGCTTACAGTAGTTGCTCTGAAAACATTTCTTATGGAAGCTTTTCATAGTCAATAATTACCTTTGTGGTGTCTTTCTTCCAATACATGCCAACACGTACTGTTAAGATTTAAGTGGTTTCACACTATGATAATATAAAACAATGTAAATATATCTCAGCTTTCTCGCAGATAGAGAATCGCTGTGACTTTCCTCCCTATTTGATCATAATGTTACCATTCCTGATCATTCAGTATGAATGTTTACCTCAAGAGATAATTGCTCTTTTCTGGCTAACATTTGAGTCGGTTGGCTTAAAGATGTTCGGAACAAAGCATTCTGGGATAGCAACGGATCAAAGTCCAAGCTTGACTGCAATAAGGAGGGCAGACAGGGAGCCTAGAAGGGCATGGCTGCAGTGATGGGGAATTGTAAATTAGGAGAGAACAAGAAAGAGAGGCACAGAGACAGAGGGCCTATCTCAAGTCTCGTAAGTGATCAACTAGAAAGCAAGCAGATGGATGAATAGCCTCTGTAAGTCTGATTTTTTCTTATTGCACAATATAATAGATATAAAAGGCTTGGGTGTGGAAAATTAAAGAAAGAAATTTTGAAGTCAGGAGTCTCATAAAACCTTGCAGAAGCATAGAAAACATTAGCAAAACACAAACAGCTTGAATTCCAAGATACACAAAATATGAAATACAGTAAAAAATGAATGAAACAGAAAATCAAAAGGCCTAAGCTCTGCTAAAACTTAACCTCGCTTCATGATGTTGACAAGTCTTTTAATCTTTCTCAGTTTCTTCCTCATCAGTAAAAAGAAAATGATGAACTAAAGTGATCTCTTAACAGCAACAACAATTTTTAAAACTGGCCATATGCAATAGCCCTGAGTTTTCCCTTTTGGGGCAGTGTGTGCTTTAAAAAGCAAACAACCCGCTTATCAGTATGTCTTCCCAACAACCCTGTGCAGAAGACAGAATAAATTGTTAACCTCCAACGAAGGGCAACTAGAAAGTGGAAATTCCATGTTGCTACCGAATCAATGCTGGAGTCTAACATATAAGTCCCATTCTCCTGTATTTCCTGAGAGTCACCAAAACAGTAGCAAGTGCATGAAGCCCAAGGGAAGCCATACACAGAGGCAAAGCAACAATCACAATGTGTGGTAGAAATGGTCACAGGTTCCCTGATATGCTATATCTAATTTTATTTTATGGTCTTGAGAAGTCCCCAAATTTCCTAATGTCTTAGTTTTGTCACCTGGATGTGTAATCAATATTCTCAAAACTACCTTTGTCATAAAAAGATGCCAATACTGGCTGGGCACGGTGGCTCATGCCTGTAACCCCAACACTTTGGGAGGCCAAGGCAGGTGGATCACAAGTTCAGGAGATTGAGACCATCCTGGCTAACATAGTGAAACCCTGTCCCTACCAAAAATACAAAAAGCTATCTGAGCATGGTGGCATGCAACTGTAGTCCCAGCTACTAGGGAGGCTGAGGCAGGAGAATTGCTTGAACCCAGGAGGCGAAGGTTGTGGTGAGCTGAGATCGCACCACTGCGTTCCAGCCTGGGTGACAGAGTGAGACTCCATCTTAAAAAAAAAAAGATACCAAAACGTTTTTAAATACTAAAAATTGAAGCATTTCAGAATAAAAAGTACCAGTTTTGAGAGGTAATGTGCTTCATGGAAATGGCACTGAACTTGGAATAAGAAAAATAAAAAAACTGGCTATGAAAGCGGGTTTGCTATCTGTGAGCCAGGTGACCCTATGACCTCTCAGTTTTCTCATTTGATAAGTGTAAGATTTTAAATATACCCTGTCCACCCCAAGATTGCCAAATTTAAGTGAGATTATAAAAGGCATGGCTTTCCTTGAACTATATGTAGTAGGCTAGGCAAAGTGATTTCTTCATAGCCTCACCATAATCATAACTGCAAGGAACCTAATTACTTTCCACTCTCCCTCAGGTCGTTAAGTTTCACAGGTCCAAAAATGGAATCAGGAAACTTCACAAGTTCCCCAGAAGGTGAAAGAATATCTACAAAAGAGGTGAATTCAGCCTGTTTCATAACCTTAGGCAAATCCAGGAAGAGTAACAGCACAATTACAAAGAGTAACTGTTCAATTACCACTCTTACCTGGCTTGTAAGACAACAGGAGAAGGTGTTAACAAATGCTTGTTCACCAATGAGTCCACACTGCAGCAAAATTCCTGGCCCTACTGAAAAAGTAGTAGAAGCCTGTCTACAATAACGTGGGTCCTTACCCATGGAACAAAATACCCACGTAGTCAGGACTGACCATGATAACGCTCATTAGAAATGTTTTCAGTCTTATATTTCACACAGGCCTGTCCTGGAGAAAAGCATCTTTGCTAGTTTCATGTAAATGCTTGCTTCCAGATTCTATTTTAGACATTTTTTTCTCTTTCTTCTTTTTATTCAGAAAGGCAGGGTTTTTTTGTTTGTTTTTTTTCTGAATACTCCCTGTATTCCCATTAACTATAGGTGTAGCTACTGTCCAAGAGGTTCCTAAAATTATACTGAGAAGAGAGGGGAAGGGAGAGAGCCACTGAAGCCCCTCTTGGTCAGAGGTCTATTTTGTGAAATGCTTGATGGACAAGATAGTCAATTATGCAATTTTTGTTTTGAAGACCCAAAACACAAACTTGCACGCCTACCTGCGATGATTCATCCTCCACCACACCCCCTATGCCCAGAAGCCCTGTTTTACAGCAGAGAATATTTCTCCAACATTTTTCCAATTCTACATCTAAATCCATGTAACAGTAAACCGTTTTTTAAATTATGTTTTAAATTACCACGTAATTATCATATTATGCTACTATTTTTGCATCAAGTTTTTTGTTGTTGTGCTTTGTTTGTTTTAGTCTCATTCCCTCTAGATTTTGGCTTTGGGAAAAGTGATTGAATTGCCAGTTCCTCACGGGCAAGAATAGATTTTCTACTCAACTTTGAAATTCCCCAAAGAACCAAGAAGAGTTTTATAGCTACACAGAGTGAATGCTGCTGAGAGCTGATGGGCCAATTGGTCTCCTAGCAAAGGGCACCAAATCTTAGAATCAAAACAAACAAACAAAAACCATCAGTTCTGAACTTTTATCACCCTCCAGGCCAAACAAATGCCTTTGAATTTGTTCATGGTTTCTGGCTGACCCATATTCCCTCCTTCCATCTACTTGAAGTACAGGCTGCCGATTTAGAGAGTAGGAAGACCCTTGGCAATGGGTGCAGGTGCCAAAAAGCATAGGTTTCTTGGGCAGCATGCATTACCCCGAGAGGGACATCTGTTTAGCAGGAAGCTTCCACTATGTGCCAGCCTTCAGAACCATCTGTCTCTTTACGCTTCCGGACACACACACACACACACACACACACACACACACTCTTCCATGCATCCACTGGGTGTGAAAACCAAGTTGAGAGATAGAAGCTGCCAACATAGGTCTCCCTTGTAGCAGAGCTTGGAGGGGTGCACGATGAAGAAACGTTGTGATTATTCTATGGGCTTGGTATCCCTGAATGGAGGAAAGTTTTCCCACCCCACCGAAACCCCTCCAGCCCATCCCCAAGCTAGAACAGCAACTCATAGGCCTGAAAGACTTAATAAGATCACTCACAATGATCTTCAAAACTAAATTTCAAGGCAATAACTCTGATACAAAGTCTTCAAACACTCAGAAAAATGCCTCTCTTCAAACTGCTTTCTTAAGGGGAAATTAGAGAGGCAAAAGGGAAAGTGTCTTTTCAATGGGTGACCTTTTAATTACAAGGATTGGTTGATCTGATGAGGGGATTAGAGAATAAGGTCAGTGAGACTAAGGTCACACAAGACAGACACATGCAAGCCATGGGCTTGGGGCCTTAAGGGGCTTGTCCTACTAATAATGTCTGTCTGTGTGCACATGCAAGCATCTGCACACATCCATGTATGGAAGAACAGGACATAGATCCTGTTGCCTAAATGGATCCAGCATCTCTCTGCTGCTTCACATTGTCAAACTGACATCCAAGATGTGAAATCTGTTTAACTGTTTGAAAAAAGTTATAGTGATTTTATAATTTATATCTTATTTTAAGAAATATTTGAAAACTCAAGAGGCAGGTTAAAAAAGAGAAAAGAGAGTAATAAGAAATTCTGAAAAGAGGGAGATGATAATACCAGATATCAGAGACAAGAATTACTGCAGTGAGCACTCAATCTGGCTCTGCAGTCAAGAAAAAAGAGCATAATGAGAAGTGACATAGTCCTCACCATCGAAGAAAAGAGAACATTATCAGTATGCAGAAAGATAGGTCTCGCTGGACTGAATTTTAGGAGAAATTTATTGCACAGAAATACAGAGATGGACTGATAGGTGGCAAATATTGACAAAACATTAAATAACAACAAATAGAGTTTCATGAAGCAAGTCAACACAGAAGTTTTAAAGACGGGCTTTTTAGTAGACGTGACTGGGTTCGAATTAGGAACTACAACATTGGACAAATTACTTAAGCACATCAAGTTTTTAATTTCTTACCTCTAAAATGGAGGTGATGGTACACACCTCTCAAGGTTATCATAAGGATTAAATAAGAAGGCACAGGTAAAGGATCTACATAGTATCTGGCTAGCAGACGTATAAGAAATGTTGGCTCCACGTCCCATCCCTCACCCCCACTCACAATGGTTATATTCAGGTCTTTTTGTGGATAGAACAGAAATCAGAGACCTAATGCCCTTGCGGCATTTCCTCAGAAAGCGTAGGTACTACAATAGTTCGAATATATTGCCAGCTGGATGCAAGAACAGAGCTTGGAGAACCTGCGGGGATGGTGGCTGGCCTGTCTCTTATACTGGCAATGGTGTCAACACAATGAAGGGGTGTCAAGACTCAGCTATCTGGCAAGTAGTTAAAAGGTAGATGCTCTGTTGCTCATCAAAGATAACTTCATGTTTGAGACACCCATTGTCAAGCAGTGGTATTAACATCCTTTGAGTGTCTCACCCAGATAGTGGACCATCCCACCTCCACAGAGAGGGTTGGATGATTGTTAGCTAAAGCCATTTCTTTGTCTCAAAGAAAACATTCATGTGACCCTCTCAAATACTTAGACAATGATGAATTGAGATTCCAGAACTCTGTATCATAAAGCATTGGAGCATAATTTGAACATGGAATAAATGAGAATAAATGTTCCTTACTTTAAAAACCACAAAAAAACGCACCTCTATGTGGCTGTTAGAAACATCTTATTTTTAATAGCATTATCACCAGATGGAAAAATGAATGCATGCATTATTAGATGGATGATGGATGAATAAATAAGTACCAATCTATTACCACGTCTGACTCTACTGTTGGCCTCTGTGCATATTTTATGTCCAGCAAAGGAAACCAAAGGTAATATACTTAATGATCATTGTCAATTATACTTGTACACATCTAGGTACAACTATAAGTTTGTATTAGTGATCCATAAAAGAACTGTTAAACTAAATAATCCCACATAATCAGGTGTATGGTCCATAATACAGTTAAAGGAACAGAAGCAGAAAATAACCATTAGAAGAAAAATTATGGTAATTTAGTCATCATATACATCATAATTTGAACATAACTAACAATTTCATTAACACAAAAATTCTAATACTAAAAGTTATTTAGCTAAATAAAGAATTAACCAAAATTTATTTCCACAGCCAAAATCTAGCCCCTGGCAAGTTTTATAATATCTGCACATTTTTTCAAATGATGAAAGCAAATCAACAGCACCAAGCCAAATCAACAGTTTAATTACAGAAATTCTGTGCAAAAGCCATATCAACCAAGCAGGTCACGGCCAAGTTTGCTGTGTCACCTCCTAAAGACTGGGGTCCCAGAAAAACTTCAGATCATTTGCAAGTACTGAAACATGAAGGAAATGTTGTGCTCAGTAACAGAAGAGCCGATATATTTGGAGAATTTTCAGAAGCTCTTTCCTATGTAGACCCTTTCTCATCTTCCTAAAGACACAATCATTCATTCACTCAATATTTCCGGCTTGCTCACTGTATGCCTGGCACTGTGCTAGGCATGGGGGAGGGGACAGTGGTGGGCAGAGTCATATTGGACACAGGTACAGCCCTTCTAGAACTCACAGACATTCTCAGACCTAAGCATAAATTCAGGGTACAGTCCTATGGAAGTAAAGGGCTTAGAATCAAAATGCAGATACATTAATACGCAAATGTCCTCTTTATAAGAACATGTCACAGGTTGCATATGCTCAAATTACACTTGGGAAAATGATCCAACATAACTGACACACTCTATTACAACTCTGTTTAAACACCTATCTCAGGGTCCCACAGCCAGAGAAAGGGCAGAGGAACTGTGCAACACCATGCTCAGTAGAACCCCAGAGAGCCTGGAAAAAGCACCAGAAAACTGCAGGACCCAGCTCTCCGACCCTGAAGCCACTTCACACTCAGCTTCAAGAAAAGCCCCATACAACATTGATAAATTATTAAATTTCTTGATTGCATGGCAGATCAGAAGCCACGAGTGAAAGGCACTCCTAAACGGATATAAAAACACCTTCAGGCAAGGGACAGATGAACTCAAGGTGAGATATCAACCTTAAGACATCACATGTTTTTTACATTTTTCCATATACAACTTCAAAACATTTACAGTGAGACATGCCTTAAAATTTTGGTAAGGTAAGGAACCCTCACACACAGAGCAGTCATGAGAGAAACAAATCATTCAGCAATTATTTACTGAGTTCAACAGCTGAGCATGGCTGTTGCTGGGGAAGAAAAGCAGATCCCAGGAGTGGTGGGAAGAACAGGCACAAGCACCTCCAATATAGAAAGTTTCTGTGCAGAGGCAAGGAGTTAGAGGGGAGAGTTGAGAGAATCAAATTACAAAACAGTTCTGCCGCTTTCTACTTCCTACGGCATGAATTTGATAAGCTGCTCAGACCCTCTGAGCTCCCATGTTCTCATCTGTAAAAAGGGCAATACCCACTGGACCCCTTCCTTACACCTTATACAAAAACTAACTCCAGATGGGTTAAAGATTTACATATAAGAACTAACACCATAAAAACCCTAGAAGAAAATCTAGGCAACACCATTTAGGACGGAGGCGCAGGCAAGGACTTCAATGAGTAAATTCATGCAATGAGCTCAGAATGGTTGGTGGCATCTGGCACATACCGTAGTGAGAACTCAAGACAAGTCAGCTCCTATTATTACTATATTCCTGATGCTATAAGAGGGAGACAAGATGGGAAGGTTTTGAAGGAAGAATAGGATTTTATCAGCAAAAGCTGATGAAGGAGACGGCATAGACATGGAGCAAAGGGAGAAAGCACAGAGGAGGCAGGAGAGTGGTCTGAAGACTCAAGCCCATGATGGCAGCCACACCCCCTCATTATCTGTTTCTGCTTCATTCAGTTCCCGAGCTACTCACAAATATCTTAGAACCCTCTCACCAGCTCAGACACAGCAAGAGGAATGAGAATCAGAGCTTTCTTCATGGGGAAGGTGTCCAAGATGTGCCCCGGACATGCACATGTCCCATGAGACTCTTTATAACCCCAGCCTTGCCCATTACCACCTCCAGCCTCCATTCTCTGATGGGGATGTCTGGTATCCTGGAATCAGAGCCCTTTTCTGACGTCGTTTAGTTCAAGCTCCAATACAGCCCCCACACCAGTTTATATGGAATATCTTTACTTTTTAAAATATATTTTTGCTTTTACAGAACACTTTCACAGGACATAATTTTTAAAACCCATCCCTGAAAAAGACTACTACTTGCTATCAAAAATAAAAAGGTCAAAGTTGATCTCTCCATGTTTGTGTGCATGTACCTGTGTATCCGTGTGTGTGTGTGTGTGTGTGTGTGTATGTGTGCGTGCGTGCGCGTGTATGTGTGTAAGTGTAGAGGTTGGAGACAGCAAAAACACTAAGTGAAAAAACAAGGCGTAGAATTGTACATAACATAATTGCACTGTGTAAAAGAATGGATATGCATATATGTCAGCATGTAAATAAGAATTCTTAAAGAATACAAAAGAAAAAATTTATGGTGATTTTCCTTTGAGAGTAGGACTGAGAAATCAACAGTGGAAAAAATACGAACTTTTCACTTCATGCACTTTTGTATCCTTTAATTTTATACTATGCACGTGTACTATTTTAAAAGCTGTTTTTAAGTGAGTTTTAAAAATAAACAAAAAATCCCGTATCAGGAGTTGATTCTAATGCCTAAATAAAAGTATGTATTTCTGATACATAGTAAGTTACTGGTAAGTGGCAGCTGCCTACTGCACCGATTATTATTTGTATTTTTACTGTGTATCTAGGTTATTTATGTGCATGAGATCTTCCCTGTGAGGCTGTGAGCTCCATGAGCACAACTTCTGTCAGGGCTGGCCCTGGCATACACAGTGTTCATACCACTTCCAACAAAGGAGTTCATCACTGCAGACTTACTTAACCAACACCCACAGGAAAGAATGACCTGCCCAGCAACCCCATCAGTGAGGGAGTAAATGTACACTTATCTCTACTTTGCAAATGAGGAAAGTGAGGTCCAGTGGTGTCATATAAAAAAGTAAAAACATTAGGGAAAGAACTGCAACAAAATTCAAGTCCCAAGGTTCCAAGGCAGAACTTCCCATCAGCAAACATTAAAACACAATAGATCTGGCTGGGCACAGTGGCTCATGCCTTAATCCCAGCACTTTGGGAGGCCAAGGCAGGTGGATCACTTGAGGTTAGGAGTTTGAGACCAGCCTGGCCAATATGGTGAAACCCTGGCCCTACTAGAATACAAAAATTAGTCGGGCATGGTGGCAGGTAGGTATAATCCCAGATACTCAGGAGGCTGAGGCAGGAGAATTGCTTGAACCCAGGAGGCAGAGGCTGCAGTGAGCTGAGATCACACCACTACACTCCAGCCTGGGTGACAGAGCAAGACTCCATCTCAAAACAGAAAAAAAAAAAAAAAATAGATCTGACTTAGTGCTGAAGACTAAGACAGACTCTAGTGAAAACTGCAGTGGGGACTACTAAGACATGAGCTTTCTAAAACAGATCAATAACATTATTTCATTGTACACACATGTATGTAAATTTCTCCCCTGAAACTAATGAAGTCACCCTAGAGGCACACACGCATGTTCATGGATTCCAAACATGAAGACAGTGAAAAAAATAATCACAGTCCTAAATATCTACAGGGAGCACACACAGGACAGTCCTGCTAACCAGCACAGAAGCAGGAGGCACCATGGTGCTGGGGGGCTGACAGCTGAGAAGAGTCACCTAGTTGAAGGTAGTCTCCTCCACATGACCTTGGGCAAGTTATTGATCCTCTCTGGGACTCAGTTTCCTCATCTGTGAAAAATGGCATGATCCAGGTACCTACTTTAGAGAGTCCACTTCGGGGATTAAATGAGAGTATAGGTGTAAAAAGTAATTAGAACAGTGCCTGACATAAAAGGCCCTCGACAAATGTTAGTTGTGTGGTTTTTGTTTCCAGTATTATTAAACAAAAACCATGGCCAGAGAATAAACACACATACACACACACATACACTAGCTCCATCCCAACAATAATTATTTGCCACCTCTTATGATATTTGGCACAGATTTCTATTATACTATTTAAAATATACATTAAAATTAGTGGTGTGCAGGTCTGTCCCTCTTCCTTTGAACTGGGTATTTCCTGAAACCAAAACAGGTTCTTAATACCTGGAAAGTGCTCATATGTGTTTGTTAAAAATGTCAACATGGAATGAAAAAGTTTAAATCATTTAGACTAACAGAGTGATAACTACAAGCAATATTCTGAAAGTTGAAATTCAGTTTCTTTTTGTTGATATCCTTTTACATAGTTCACCATAAAAGTAATATCTGTAAATAAAGCTAACTTATGCTCTGAGGCCTACTAATACACTAAATCATCGGCACTGTGGCTTCTCTTGATGGTCATTCAATTTCATTTCTGTAAAGTTTAAGCCTGCACATTTGAGCAAAGGAATTAAATTCACCAAGGAGCCCGGCCTACCACAGAACTACTCAGAGATCCAATCAACAGCTCCTCTCTGTAATAAGGAAATGTAGACTCCGATTAATAAGTGCAGTTGCTGGAATCAGTTCTTCTTCTCACAGATTAGGGTGATGGGGCATCCATGAAGGAATTGACCGTGAAAACTCTAGCTTATTTCCAGAAACGATGGTAGAATTCCATGAGTGAAGTAACTACTACTTTAATATCTCTGCCAAGTAGATGGTGAGATTGTGAGCTCCAAGAGTACATTAATCACAAACCTTATTCTGTTCCTGTATAGTGAAATCATATTTGTCCTCACATGCAACTGTGTGGTTCAAGATAAAACACTGTATAGTAAAATGCTTATTGTCTTTAAATGTAAGTTCCATCCATCATGGAGGCCAGACTCATTCCTTGCCTAAAGCCAGTAATATGTCTTTTGGATGAAGTATAAACTTTGGGAGTTAATTACTTCATTACATGGCATGGCCCATCCATTATAACAACATGGCCGTGACTGGATTCAGCTATTGTAGTCATTCAATCCAACCTCATTTATAAAACACAGTTTGTGCCTACTGCCTCTACAGAGGCCATAGAAAAATGGTTCTAGAAGCCATTTATTCATGTTCTAGGAACTGTGTACTGAGTGCCTACCATATGCTACGCACTGTTTCAGATGCTGTGGTTACTGAAGAAAAGAAGATAGAAAAACATTTTACTCTTATGGGGTTTAATACATATGAGAGGTTAGTGAGAGTAGACAAAAAATAAACAACTAATTTCAGATAACAATTTATTAAGAAGAATGAAGAAGGCCTTTCTGAGGAGATGAAATGTGAATCATGCAAAAGGGGCATCTGTGCAGACTCTCCTCTGTATAGAATGTAACGTGGCTGCTCTGTACGTGTGTATGTGGAGCTCTGTAGAAGCCATATTGATCAGTTTGCCAGAAAGCCACAGCCAAGACAGGTAATGAGGACTTGAACTCAGTTCCTTGCACCCAAATCTCTGGATCCCAAGATCACTAGAAAGATCTTGTCAGACCCTTGAGTGCAGTTTAGATACTTGGAGAAAGCCTCAGTTGTTTTATTGCCTATGGACACAAATGGCACCCAAGAAACCTGAGAAAAATCAATATAGCAAATTAGACTATTTGGGCCTCTCATGATCTTACTAAAAATGATATCTCTTCTCTAAATTTCACCTGAGGTGGAATGAGCTACAAAGGCCTAGAGAAGGCAACCAAGGAGTCCACAGACAGGGTAGAGTCTTAACTGCATACAGGCCACTGGTGTCCCCTCCTCCTTTCCTCTGGCAGTAGAATACTCATTTCATCACTCATTATCAGACCATGTGCTTAGAGAAGACCCTACTCCAAGCTCCAAGAGGGGAAGCCTAACCCAGACTCGGTCAGTGTGCACACTGAGCATCCCTTCTCCAGGAACTGTTAAGGGATAAGCATGTGGCCCAAGTCCCATTAGTCCAAGTGAGTCCTGGGGTTTTTGCAAGAGTTACTAGAGACTTTTTTCCTGCTGGATTTGAACCTGGGTTCTTGTGAGTCCTAGCTGTAACAGATAAACCTGGCAGAGAGCAAAGCCCAGGGATGTAGGAATATGGAGTAAGACACCTGGTCTTCATGCCTTCATCTGAGCTTCTGGATCAACCCACACCTAAATCCCATATGCTCTCAGATTCTCCAATTCCTTCATTAATACATTATGTTTTTATTTCTTATACTAATTTAAGGATTTTCTAACACATGCCACAACAGTTCAAGTATACATACTAGGTAAATTCTTTTTAATACTAAATTATTGAGAACAGAATACACTTCTTAACATATTTGAAGAGCCACTTGTAGAGAAATCTAGATTGTTAGTAAGAGAAAACTGATGTCTCTTCTGATTTCCACGAGGTGATTTCTTTATTTGATATATATTATGTGTTCATATTGGTGCTAGCTCCTATGGAGGAAGAAATGGATAAAACATTGCCTCCCTGGATTCAAAGTACATATCCTATAGCCTAGCACTGTTACCAATCTTTTACTGATCTATAGCACTTTATTTGCTATAGAGCACTTTTAAAATGCTGAACTTCAGGTCCACAGAATTGGACTGAATTGACCAAAACCCCTGGCCATCAACTCTCATCATGACTCCATGAGTGGTGTCTTTTGATCAAGTGCCCACTCATATCATCTCATTTCATGTTCACAACTGGATAAAAATATCGAGATTCTGAAAAATCACACAAACCTCACCAGATCCAGAATTTTAACTGTGTTCTTCCTTTTCCCCCTCATCTGCCTCTTAATATAAGTGTAAAAGAAGGGGTTCCTCCAATCACACTAGAAGGAGCTACACCCAACTGGCTGGTGTGTTTGAAGGGTATCACTAGAATAGACTCTTCAACACTAAGCATACATCCAGAGTCTTGGGGTTGCTTCTCGTCTACTGCTAATTTGGCATTTTAAAATGTGCTCATTTTAAAGAAGCTGTGTAAAATTCAGAATCTGCATTTAGTACCTTTTTTTTTCCTGCACACACTGGTAGTTACAGACACACTTAAATGTTCAAGCCAGACTTAATCAAATTCTTCCAGTACTATAAAAGATATCTTAAAGTATTCTTGAAAAATAATTTTTCAAAAGTCACTTTTTAAAAATGTCATTATTGTCTTTCTTTAGTAGCATTTTCTTTTTGCAGATCAATAATAAGTCTATTATTCCTTTCCTGGTTCCACTGGTTCTAACTGAAAGTTCAAACAGGTAAGAAAAGGCATAGATGTTTTATTTGTTTAATCTGGAAATAAAATCACCTAAAAAAATACCATTTAAAATTTTGCAGGTAATTGATTTCTACTTCTTTACCTGAAACTACTCTCCTCTTGTTTTCTTGGCATATTAATTTGGTGAAGTAGTTTCACTTTATAGGAACAATGCTCTCCAGAAGAATTAATGTTTTCTGGCATTGGCTGATCAATTTGAAAAAAAAAAATTGTCTTATTTTTCATTAAACAGAAAATCCTCCTCCACACTATATAATTCAAGGAGGGGGTAGAATATATAAAATGTCCTTTTACAGGAAAGAAATGTTTCTACAGTGGTGGATGTTTATAGCGGAAATAAGCCATTGCTTGTGTGTCAGATCCTTCAGACACCACCAGTAGACCTGGGTCAGAGGCCCTGTATCCAAAGAGGACTCCACTGCCAGGCCCATCACTTACAGTTGGTACTGGCAGTACAAGATGCAGTGATGCCACTTCCCTTAGAAGGATAAGAGCTCAACGTTGGAATGTTTTTCTTCTACTCATCGGCACGGCAGGAGACAAAACCGTGATGAAATTCCATAAACAGGCAAGTTGGGTATGTAAGAGAAACATGGTTGATGCTGCAAAAGAGCTGCACTTGTGGCCAACAAAGGTGAGAAACAGAGAGAAATTGTGGCCCATGAAGTCACTAAAGACAGTAAAAAAGAAGGGTGCCATGATGCAAAGTGATCCATCTATGGAGTCAGCCAAGGCAGATCTAAATCTTGGCTCTGCCACTCTCCAGCTACAATGCTCTTTAGCAAGATAAGAGCCCAGCATCTGGCATATTAACACTTCAGTTGTAGAGGACTCCCTTCCTCCCCAGTTCCATACATTTTCTGTGATGCTCTTTGTTGTAATCATAGTCAGTCCTATGTCCTACAAGATTTATCTTAATTTTTATGATATTCAAGGGCATGCATCATGACTAAATAAGTGAGATGAAATTTGGAATTCCATAAGCAACGTATCTTTCATTAAATTAGATTAACTAACTCTATTAGGACCCAAAAAGGTCTTAAAGACAGAACTTATCTGACTGTGTCAGAGTCCATTGCTTGCCATTTTCTGTTCAATACCACTGTCTGCACATAGGCCACGTGTCCTAAGAAATAAGGTTGACCCTTGATGCTGCTGTTAGATTTAAAAATAATAACAAATAATAAAATAAAATAAGCTTGACCCTCAAAAATGTCTCACTAACTCTTTACTCCAAAGAGCCACCTCAACACATCTACCACACTGGCCTCCTAGCTCTTTTCTAACAAAACTTCAGCCCACTGATTTTTAAGATATTGTAAATCAGATCAGTTTTACAATCCCAGCTCTTGTGGCTGGGGTCAGAAATATGACTAAAGGAGGCCACACAAAGGAATCACATGTGTAAAACATGGGTTGAATTATTTTTTAAAATATCATAGAGGCTTACTATGAGACAAATCATCCAGCTAGCTGACAATAGATATAATGTTCAGCCACTTCAGGTGTGTGCCTTTCTGCCCACACTGTATTTATTTGCACACAAATACCACCAATGTCACCACCACTGTCACTAGTCCCAATTAGCCTTATTGCTTTCCATGGCATTGAACGTAACTAGTTATTCCACATATTTTACTTTTTTACTTTCTTTATCTTATGCCTCATTCTAGTAGCATGGAAACTCAAATAAATCACTGATTTGTTTATTTTTCATTTCTATACCCTCAATACCTAAAATTGTACGTGCCACAGGACAGACATTCAAAAAATGTTTGTTGACTGAATGGCAAGTTCTAATATTTTTTGAGACATTCTCTCTAAAAAGACTATCATGGGGAGTGAAAGCTAATATAATAGGAGTTTTAGAACAAAGGGTTTCAGAGAAACTTTTAAGATAAATAGTAAAAATGTGTATCTACAAACAAAATAACTAGATATCAATTCAAGCACGGTTTTTGGTCTTGTTTACGCCATTCCTTCAATGAATACTTACTGCAAACACCCCTTTGCAGCTGTCTGCTATAACCCTGTAGCTATTCAGGCCCAATCTACCCATGAGCAACATGCTAGATACAAAAGCAGCTATGGATGGTCTAGTGGCATTTGCGTCAGGCCCCATGCCACTACCTCATTGGCTTAGCTTCCAAACCGCTGCTATTTTAGTCCATGTCCATCTAGTTTCTGCCTCTTAACCGTCTCCCATTTTCATCACAGCTTATAGCTTCTGAATTTGTTGGCTTGATGCTACTTCTAGGCTTGGCCTTTACTGTTCAGCAAGATTTCTGGGTCAGGCATATCCCATTAGAGATCCTTTCCACACATGCGTTCCTTGGGTAGAAAAAGCAACTCTAGGTCCAGTGTCTGATGAACTACACTTGGGTGCAAGTGCACCTACCAGGCCCACCTTGGTCTCCACTACTGGGTTCAGATATTTAAACCACAACACTATTTCATAGGTAACCAACTTGAAGACATATGAAAAACTGGATCAAATAAATTGAAGGATACCATAAACTGAAGGATATGTCACATAAAATCCTATAGGGCAGTGATTTCCAGCCTGAGCTGCAAGAACATCTAGGGAACATGAATCGTTATTGCAAAGGAGTTTGTGAATTCATATGCACACCTGCACTGTTAGTGAACTGAAAAAAAAACAAGACATGACTATATAACATGACATACACTTTGCTACATTTCAGCATCATACAGATGCTACCATGTTTTATCAAACACAATCATATTGAAATGTATTGACTAAGTCACAAAACTTTTTTACATTATGTATAGATCAAAAGATATTAAAGGTCCAAATGAAGGGTTCAAAAATATTTTGATATCATAAGACCAAAAAAGCCTACAGATTCCTCCAAGTTAGATAATGATGAATAGACTCTTAACCAAGATACAGAATAATGCAAGGTTATGGGGAAAAATATGGCAAATTCTGCCCAAAATAAAAAATCAGTGACTAGATTTATCCTCCCATAAGAAACAATCTAAAAACATACAATTACATAAAACAATGGCTTTTAAGAAGCTGGACATCATGCCGCAAGGAACGGGCAATGAAAGTTTGCACCAGAGACATGGGAAGCAAAGGCAGGGAGCCCTGTAGTTGCCACAGCTTACTGCCTTGGGAAGGTTTCCAGGGCTCAGTCCAACAAGAGTAACCCAGGTGGAACCCAGTGAACCCCGAGTCAGGAGATGGAGTTGAGATTCCAGGAAGATCAAGGTAGCTAGAAGTCACAGGACAGCATACCTGAGGGGGGAAAAAAAAGAGCTACATAAAGAGAGCTAAATAAAGAGATCTGCAAAGAATCCTACTTATGTATCCAGCTAAGTAAGGATGAATAGATGCATGCAAGAAAGACATCGCTGCTTTTGTACTACAACATCTGAGTGAGTAGTTACCAGGAAGACCTTGTGGTCCTCAAGCCAAAAATGTACTACCTTGTTCTTTCCAGAGAAAAAGTGCCAACCTGATCAACATCATACTATTCGTAAAAGCCTGAATGCGTTCCTTATAAGATCAGCAATGAGAAAAGGATGTCCCCTCTTACTACTAAAATTCAACATTATTATCAAGGTTGCATCCAGTGCATTAGGCAATGAAAAGAAAGAAAAGGTATGCAGATTGGAAAAGAAGAATTAAAACTGTCTTTATTTATAGACAACGTGACATTTTATGTAAAAAACCTCGTGGAATCTGCCAAAAAGCTATTAGAACTAATTAATCAGTTTAATAAGCTTTTAGGATATGAGATCATGATATAAAACTCAATTCTATTTCTGGATACCATAAATGAGCAATTAGAAGTTGAAATTTAAAAATAACATCTATAGTAATATCAAAAATCTGAAAGGCTAATAAATCTAACAAGAGATTGTCAAGACCTATATACTGAAAACTAGAAAATATTGCTGAGAGAAAGTAAAGAACACCTAAAATAATGTTGAGATATACCTATATTTATAGGTCAGAAGACATGATATTGTTAAAATGCTGCCTTCTCAAATGTATCTATGGATTCAGTACAATCCAATTGTAACAACTGACAAACTGATCCTAAAATTCATATGGAAATGCCAAAGCCCTAAAATAGCCAAAGCAATTTTTAAAAAGAACAAAGATAGGGGACTAAAACAACCTGATATGAAGTCTTATCATAAAACTACGGTAATGAAGGCAGATTGGTATTAGCATCAAGATAGACAAATAGGACAATGGAGCAGAATAGAGGGTCTTGAAACAGATGCACATGAATAGAAAACTAATTTTTAACAGAGGTAAAATAGCAATTCAATGGAGAAAGAGAATCTTTTTAAAAAATGAGAAGAAACTACTGGATTTCCATATGTAAATTTCCATATTGACTTTCAAACCATACTTCCCACCACACAAAAAATCAACTCAAAATGGATCATAGACCTAAATGTAAATCCTAAAACTATAAAAGTTCCAAAAGAAAATGTAGAAGAAAATCTTTGTGACACTGTATTAGTTTTCAAAGTCTGCCATAGCAGAGTACCATAATGCAGGTGGCTACTAAAACAGAAATTTATTGTCTTACAGTTATGGAGGCTAGAAGTCCAAAATCAAGGTGTCAGTAAGGTTGGTTCCTTCTGAAGGCAGTGAAGGAAGGACGTGCTCCAGGCCTCTCCCCTTGACTTGGAAATGGCTCTCTCCGCCCTGTATCTTCACATCGGTCTTCCCTCTGTACTTATCTGTGTCTGAATTCCCCCTTTTTATAAGAACAATGGTCATATTGGATTAGAGTCCACCCTAATGACTTCATTTTAATTTGGTTACCTCTGTAAAGACCCCATCTTTAATTAAGGTCACATTCTGAGGTACAAGGGGTTAGGATACCAACATCTTTTTTAGGTGAACACAATTAACCCACAACAGACACCAAAAGCACAATCCATAGAAAAAAACAAACTAATAAACTTAACTTTATTAAAATTAAGAACATATGTTCTTCAAAAGACAAGGTTAAGAAAATAAAAAACAAGCCACAGACTGCAAGATAATATTTTTAAATCGCAAATCTGATAAAGGACTTGTATCTGAAATACACAAAAAATCAAAATTCAGTTTAATAAATTAACAAATTTTAAATGAGTAAAAGATTTAAACAGATATTTGACTAAAGAAGACACAAAGGTAACAAGCACATGGAAATATGCTCAACATCATTAGATGTTAAGGAAATACAATTATTAAGTCACAATGAGAAACTACTATTTATCTATTAGAATGGCGAAAATTAACAAGGCTGATTGTGCCAAGTGTTGTCAAGGATATGGTGCAACTAGACCACTCATATCCTGCTGATGGGAATGTAAAATGGTATAACTTTGGAAAAAAGTTTGCCAGTGTCTTAAAACATTAAATAAGCAGCTACTATATGATGTAGCCATTCCACTTTTAGGTATCTACTCTAGAGAAGTGAAAGCCTATTTCCATATCAAATCTTACATATGAATGTTCTTAGCAACTATATTCCTAATAGCCCCAAGGTGAAAACAACCCAAATGCCAGCCAGCAGTGAATAAATTAGAATATTGTGGTATGTAAGCCATGTAATGAACTAGTATTCCACAATTAAGGAATGAACCATTGACATACACAACAACATGGATGACTCTCAAAGTAGTCAACTAAGTGAAAGAAGTAAGCTACAAAAGAATACACTATATGAATCTGTTAATTTCATATAGCTATAAAAAAATACCTGAAGCTAGGTAATTTCTAAAGAGAAGAGGTTTAACTGGCTGATGGTTCTGCAGGCTATACAGGAAGCATGGCACCAACACTAGCTTGGCCTCTAGTGAGGGCCTCTAGTGAGGAAGTTTACAAACATGGTGGAAGGTAAAGGAGAAGGCCAATGTATCACATGGTGGAGTGGGAGCCAGAGTAGGGGGTGGAGATAACAGACTCTTTTAAACAACCCAATCACATGTGAACTCACTGAGCGAGAACTCATCACCAAGTGAATGGAACTAGGCCATTCATGAGGGATCCACCTTCATGACCCAACCACCTACCATCAGGCCCCACCTCCAACACTGGGGATTACATTTCAGCCTGCGATTTGAAGGGACAAACATCCAAACCCATGTCAGAATCCATATATGCAAAACTCTAGAAAATGCAAAATAATCAACAGTACTAGAAAGCAGATAATTGATTGTCTGGGTATAGGCATATCAGGGAGAGGGAGGCATCAAAAAGGGTCACGAGGAAAACTTCGGAAGTGATGGCTATGATCTTTATCGCGAATGTAGTGATGCTTTTGTTGTATGCATATGTCAAAACATCATATTATATACTTCGAATATGTGCTATTAATTGTATGTGAAATCAATAAAACTGATTTTAACATATGCATTCCACAGTCAGATAACCTACTGTTTCACGTCCTGGCTCTACCTCTTTTTAGCTCTGTTATCTTAAGCAAGTTATCTTTGAGCCTCATATTTTCCAGCTGTAAAACGATCATTCATCACATAAATTTCACTGGATTATTGTGGATATAAACTGATAACTAATTCAATGCCTGAAAACAAGAGATAATCAACTGTAGCCATTAACATAACAATAAATTCCCTTGTTCTTAGTTGCTAATGTCCTGTAAAAGCTAATTTGAAAGCCAAGACGTACAATTATATTTTTAGAACCTGAAAAGGTGAGTCTTCCTGACTTTCTTATTCAGTGTTTCAGATAGTGTTCATGTACATGAGTTTTGATAAGGTAAAGAGTACACGGGAAGAAACTCAAAAGTGAGTTTTCTGATCATCTAAAATCAAATTTTCAAATATGAGTTGTGGTCTCCCCTACTATAAACACAAAGGGTTTAGACAATTATAAAGTCCCAGCAAAATAACACTCCTTATGCACATATGTGGGCCTTCCTCAACGGCAGTTGGTAAAACTGCATTTCCAGTTTCAAAAAATACACACACCCCTCAAAAGAATTTCAACTTAAAGCTCTTTACATCTGTGATGTTTAGCTTAGACCCTCACTAAAGAAGACAAAGAAACCCCTAATGAGCTATTTCTGTCCCACAGACCATGTGGGTGGCCCTGTGGGTTTATGCAAAGAGAGTGGTCTGGGTAGCACTTTCACAATGTGTAGGTGAAAGACCACACCTAGTAAAAAGGGCAAGGGACTGCAATAATTGGAAAACAGGCAAGACACACCAAGTATTTTCCTGAGACTCTGGAAAATGAAATAAGGAAACTCACATGCCAAAGGTATTAAATGTCAAGTCAGTAAGGAGATAGTCTGAAACCATTTAAAAGCTATAATATCAGAAAAAAAAAACAAAACGTGCTGGTACGATGTGACTCGAAAGAACTCCCTATCACAGCAGTAGCTTCTGAAAAAGTAACATTGTTTTAATGCCCACAAATCCAGTTTGTGTAGAAGTACACACCCTCAAGAACTTTTATTTACCGTGTCTTGAAGAAATACATTAGTCTTTTAAAAAAAAATTTACTTTAAGTTCTGAGATACGTGGTGCAGAAGGTACAGGTTTGTTAACATAGGTATACATGTGCCATGGTGGTTTGCTGCACTTATCAGCCCATCAGCTAGGTTTTCAGCCTCGCATGCATTAGGTATTTGTCCTAATGTTCTCCCTCCCCTTGCTCTCCACCCAACCCCGAAAGGCCCTGGTATGTGATGTTCCTCTCCCTGTGCCCATGTGTTCTCATTGTTCAACTCCCACTTACAAAAGAGAACATGTGGTGTTTGGTTTCTTTTCCTGTGTTAGTTTGCTGAGAATGATGGCTTCCAGCTTCATCTGTGTCTTTTCAACCCTAACTGGATAATGTGTGATTTTTCTAACCAATGTTGCTATAAAAGTCCATATGATCTCGTATACATTAAGTCCTTTGTGTTATAAGATATCATGTGATATGGTTAGACTTTGTGTCCCCACCCATATCTCATCTTGAATTGTAATCCCCATAATCCCCATAATCTTCATGTGTCAAGGGAGAGACCAGGTGGAGGTAATTGAATCATGGGGCCAGTTTCCCCCATGCTGTTCTCATGATAATGATAGTGAGTTTTCACAAATCTGCTGGTTTTATAAGGGGCTTTTCCCAGTTTGTTTGGCATTTCTCCTGCCTGCTGCCCTGCCTTCCTGCCTTGCTCTCCTTCCTGCCTTACTTCCCTGTCACCTTCCGCCATGATTGTAAGTTTCCTGAAGCCTCCCCAGCCATGCTGAACTGTGAGTCAATTAAACCTCTTTCCTTTACAAATTACCCAGGCTCAGGCAGTTCTTTACAGCAGTATGAAAATGGACTAATACATCATGTCTTCATGCTAGGAGCAAATTTAAATGAATAATAATAAATAAAAAACCCACAGGTAGGAAAATACTGATGAAAAACGAACAACTGGGAAGAGACACTAATTCTCCTCCCCAGGTGACCTCACTACTGGCATTGTTAAAGCCAAATGGTTAATCTGATGCTTTGATTTCCTGTAAGTTAAGGGACTGCAAGTAATATTTAAGATAAAAATGTTTACGATAAAAACGTGCAGGGAAAATAAAAAGGACACTTTATATGATTTCTCATATTTCTCCTTCCCTACCCACATCTAGCTCATGGAAGACAGGAGCTGGAAATGATTTTTTGACTTTTTACTTTCAAACACAAAGATGCCATAAAGAAAAAAAATGTATATTTTTTGCTGATAAATTTTGCCACTTGGAAATTTAAATCTTCTATACATCAATATGTTCCCAAAAATGCTAAAGAAAAATGAGGGAAAACACCAAAAAAAAAAAGGGACGTGGTTAATATTTTAGTATATAAAGAGCTTTTTCATGGAAATATGGGTAAAAACATGAATAGGTAATTCACAGAAGAAAAATTATAATAATCATTGATACTTGTTCAATTTCACCGAGAATCAAAGAGATTCACACTAAAGAGACACAATATGGAAGTAGGAGGCAGAACTAGATTCCAGAGGCAAGGCTCAGACACCGAACCAAACTGAGGACTAGTTAAAATAGGATTGGGGTAGAAATGTCTTTCCATAAGACACCCACCAGTATGCCCTGTCAGTTTACTATTGATATGACAACACCCAGAAGTTACTGCCCTTTCATTAGGAATTTTTGAAGACTGCCCCTTAATTTGCATGTAGTTAAAGTTGGGAATAAATATGACTACAGAAGAGTCCTGAGCTGCTACTCTCAGCATACTGCCTATGGGGTAGTCCTGCTCTGAGGGGAAGTCACGGAGTTGTAACACTGCCAGACCTACAACACTGCCACTTTAATAAAGCTGTTTTCTTCATTAGAGAAAGAAAGAATTCAAATTCTCTTAAATTTTTCCTCAGAAAAGCCAAGAAACTTCCCAGGCTAAGCCCCAATCTGGGGCTTGCCTACCCTGAATCAATATCAGAGTAACCTATCAGACATACAGTATTAATCGTAAGTAAGTAGAAACTTCCTAGAGAACAATTTTTCAACATGCATTAAAAGCTTTAAATGTTTTTCCATACTCTTTACATTTCTTCTAGAGGAATTTTTTCTAATCTTAAAGAAAACAGTGGAAAGAATATAAAAAGAAGTCCAAAGACACATGCATCAGAACATAGTTTATGAATGAAAAACTCAAAAGCAACCTGACTGCCCAATAACAGTGGATTGGTTTAATAAGTGCTGATGCAGACATGAGGTAGAATATTATGTAGTCATTAAGAATAGTGTTTTAGATATAGATTTATCAGCAAGGAGAGTTAGTAATGATACATGAATAAAGTGAGTAAAATCATTTCAAGAATGTATATGTAGTCTAATTCCATTATTATAACATTTTTTGTATAGAACAAAGTTTGGAAGAGCTATACATGAAGATTTTAACAGTACTTCTCTGGATAACGGAATTTCGGTTGTTTTAAAATTTTCCATCTCCTATAAACAAGACAGTCAGCCACAGCATGATGTCTGAAA